TTGTTTGTTTTTCTAGGGTGCAGCGGAAGCCCCGGACCGGCGAGAGATTCCATCGTCAGCGCCGAGCGTCTCCGAAACGAGCGAGCCTGCGGGCGCGGCCTCGTCGCCGGCCTACCCCGGCATCGTCTTCACCATCTCGCAGCGCGTGGAGCAGGCGCCGCTGCCGCCCCCGCATGCAGAGGCCGGCGCAGCGCTCGGCGGCGGCGCCGCCGCCGCCGCCCGTACCGAGGAGTCCAGCAAGGACGCCGCCCCCGCTGCGGATGCTCAGAAACCCACCACCGAAGCCTGACGCATACAAAAAGATTACTATGACAAGGAACTGCTTGATTATTGCCGTCAACATAACTGCAGGTTATGTCCATGAACTCAATTCGTCAATGAATTTTTGTAAGTGGCTTCATTACAATCTCTTGCAATGCCATCGTCCTACGTGTTATTCATTTGTTTCACATGTCAATCTGGTCCCTTCTTGTAGTAACTCCTCTATACTCCGCTTTAGCCAGTGTCAATTTAAAATCCAAGGACAGTCAATCGGGGGCTTCTTTACGACTTAACTTGTTCGTACTGGAGTTCCCGATTGGACAAGATCACCTTTTCCTTTAAAGTCGTAACCTTCAAGTGCAACTTGTTTAAATCGGTGTATAAAGTACAGTATTGAGGTTACCGCAGGTTCGGAACATTTATGCGTCAGGCTTCCCCGTTTAATATAGCACGTAATTTCTCACTGCGCCAATAGGTTTGTCATTAGTATGATGGTCATCAACCTATATGCATAACAGTATATTTTACCGAGATATAAAATCTTATTCAAAATCCCAAGAGCGAAACTGAAGATTGGTGTTAAAAATAGATGACATATTCATCCTGCTGGTAGAATTCGCACGATATATCTGCACACAGCGTTAAAATACGAGTTTGCGGTCTTTGAACAGTCAAGTGCACAGATATGTCGGGTGAACTCAAACACTTGTACTATATTTACATACTTTGATTTCAAAGTATAGCAAATGTATTCGTTTCCAGAAATTGCCACTCATAATCGGTCAGTTTGGTTGTCAGATTTCGTCCCACGGAAGTCCAAAATGCTTATAAAATTTATACTCTCAAAAGATTTCAAGGCCTTCCTAAGACGTCAAATTAACGAACCTTCTGTGTTAATTTCAGGCAATCTTTGCAATAATGAGTACGTGAATGCTAACAAGTACTAACATTTAATGTGTACGTTTCGTATTAGACCTTCCAAATAATCTATTTTTCTATATGTTGGTCTTTGTGCTTACGTTTCACTAAAATATTTCGATATAAACTCAAATGTTATTTGGATATACCATTTTTTAATTTTTTTCCTATTGGTAGAACATCTAGTAAGACTCGTGTCAAGTATCATTACAAGTAATGATAAAATGGCAGCATACATATATAGATTTTAATGAGATATGCCAGTATTACAATTTGAATTTAAATTTAAACGGTAATGTTTTCAAATTGTTCTATGAAAATAGCACACACAGCAGTGGGGAGCAATTTTCTTAACAGAAGGTAAGACAAAAAAGTCATTTGGATACTACTTAAAATAAAATAAATGAGATTAGATGCGTCGATCTGCGACGGAAAGGAGAGGAAGTTGTCTGTTTATTTATCCACGATTCGCCAGTTCATGATGTGAAAATACCGTGCGCCAACTGTCCTGCCCTGGCGTGACCACCCTTTCCCGTAACGCCTTGATCTTGTTGAAAGAGACACCTGTAGAAGGCAGTTCAGGGGAGGAGATCCTCCTTGGGACTGTATACCTCCATTAAACGCTTTTCCTCTCCTCGTGGTATGAGCGGGTCGAACGATTAACAGACAAGAAGAAAGGCAGACCGCTCCTTCTCAAAACCTTTTAGATATCAAAATGCTAGCATTACTTAAAGCTCGAACAAAGTTAATTTCCTCATAGTGTGTGAATTAAAAAATTACAATGTTCCCTCAAACATCAAAACATTTCATTACTACAGATAATTAAAACAATTTAAAGAAAAAAATTGGTGAATTTCCTTTTCCTCCCCTGAAAAATTGGCACTGATACAGAATGCTTCTATCAATATTTTCTTCATTCTGTGAAAATGTGTGCAGCAAGGGCAGTTATTTACAACCAGAAAATGTAAAAATGATTGGATAAAGACATGTGGCATGAATTACCCAAAAAATGTTTATTATTGAAAAGTATTATAGTTTTATAAGTGGATTTATGATATATAATGGTTCCAGAATTATTTTTTTCTTGGTATACATGTAATTGCTGGAACATATTTTAACTATAAAAATGAAGAATGATGGCAAAGCTCTTACACTTCACAATTAAAATTATGTAAATTGGAGAGAATATAATGTTATGTTATTGTTCATTAAAATCATAGAAGTGCAATAAATAGAACATTAGGTTTCATATTCATACTATGTTAACAATATTATATAATAAATGAACTGTTTATTTTTGTAATCCAATCTTTTTAATTATTACCTTGTGTACTATTTTTACCATTTGTAGAAATCTTTTACATCTCTATGAATTAAAAATTTACAAAATGGAAAGGACAACAAACATTTAAGTACAAATAGAGAATGATATCCCCATTACAGATAACGTCACCTTGATGTCACCCAGTGATGGGTTTAACAAGGAAGTACACATCTTTCACGCACATCTCAATAGTTCCCAAATCCGTTTCTTGTGGCCATGAATACATACAAGAATTCTGACTGTGTGAAATATTGGTCTGAATTTTAACTTGAATCTCAGACAGGTAAATCAAATTTCACCACGATATTGTCAGAGCAATAGCATGCCCAAATTTGAGGTACAAGGATTTAACGATAGGATACTTGAAAGCTACGTCCAAACTAGAACATAGAACAAATCCATACTTGCGAGAAAGTCTTTCATGTATTAGAATTTTTGCACAGCATAATGGAAAACATGATTAACTATCATACGACCAGTAGTAAATTATGGTACGGTGCTTTTCATTACTGGGAAAATGAGCACAACATTTGGAAGAGATACTGTGTGCAGTCCATCAGACATTTTGTTTTAACATTGAGACATGACAAAGCTAACCCTTAAGAAAACTGAATCATTATTTCAGAAAAAATTTGTTGTCCACAAAAAATTAAGAAATCTCTATGCAATTAACGTTTCCCATTACATTATTTAATTACATTAAATTACAAATTACACTTAACAACAAACTACATTTGAATAATAAAATACAGATAAATCTCTTCATGTATGAATTTTATAACTTTTCCCCCAAAAATGTCAAATAAGAGTAGTTTGATTAAGAAGTTTACATCTCTTTTTGGTTGCAGATTCCGAAACTTTCTAAAAGCGTGGTCTTTGTTTTTATAACTTTATTAATTTATGTCATCATCACTACACCATGTTAGCAAGTTTTAATTCTCAAACACTTTCCTTGTTTTTTAGAATCACTTTCATCCACAGCTAGTATCAATCACTCATTCTCTTATCAGCGAAACTCACTCACAGACTTCCCTGAACCAAACTCACAAGGAAACTATATTTCAAAACACAATTCCTATTTAGCCAGCAGGACTGTTTCATTACCAAGTTCACAAATGACCTTCATGCCAGTTTCATGCAAACAACATGTTCTATGGGCTGATGACAAAGGGTAAAGGGGTAAAACAAGAGTTAACAAATTTCAGGAAAGGGCTCTGGAATCGATAAAGTAAACTTGTTATTTCATAGATATATTAATGAAATCATCTTTGTTGCCTGAAACAGAATTACATCCCTTGTCAGACAAGCGGCTCTAAATGTCAATGTTTCAAATAATCTGAAAACTTGTCCCATTGCAAGAAGATATTCAATCAAAAGTATTTCCACCACCCTTTCGCTTCTTATTCTAATATAGATCAAAATCGCAAGCACTGACCAAGTCCGTCTATGAAATGGACATTGGCCTCAAGACCAGGCGGCTATTTAAAAAATTAATTATTTTTTTTTCACTCCACAATTATTCATTCAGAAGCAAAATATGGTAAAAGAAAAAACATTGATGTTTAAAACCTCTGTGTTTTGAAAACATTGACATCGATGTTGCATCCCTAATGCACGCACACACACATTTGCCTACATGAAATATTCATAAAAATGGGCATACTTGAGTAGATCCCTACGTAAGTCTTCATGCCTTTAGAGTTTTTTCTGAAGAGCAAAACTAACAAAGCATGTAATAAGAAACATGAACTTCATTATAAGGGGAAAAAAAATCAGAAGTTCTGATGAATTACTTTAAAGAAAATAATTGTAAATCAAGATTAATAACAAAATAACACACTTGTTTAATATCAAGTTCTCTTAAAGAACACTATCAAGAAATTGTTTTTCTTTTTTAGCGACACTTGTTATTCAATCCGGCTTGACAGTCTCCTTACATTTTGTGTACGAACCAATTTTTTTGCCATATCAACACTAAAAAAATCATATGAACCCACGTTTCCTCACATTCAGTCAGGGTCAGCAATATTCTTGACCCTGTGCTGTTTTCCCGCAAAACCTAGACCGCTCATGACAAAAACTCAATCTCCTGATTCGGCTACATATAACCCGCAGTTACACTGTCTATGAAGACGATCTTAGAAATAGCTCACATGTAGTGTTGGATAACTTCTCAATAAAAGATGTTGGGCAGCCCAACATCCATCCATCCCTTGTGCACAAAGCAGTTGGCAATGAATCGGCCAAACAAAACCAGAAAATACAAAATTACTCAAGATTAAGAGACCTGGCTACAATGAACCTTCATTGCCCGGTTGCAACTGAAAAAATAAAGATTTTTTAAATTTATTATTCAGTAACGCTTTTGTTAAATGGTTGCAGGAACACCATAGCAAACAAAGTCACAAAAACTATCCTAACACCTTGTATAGTTTTCATGGTAAATATTAAAATTTTGCTTCTGGGTGCAATAGATCCCAGTTTCCCGGATAAGGGTTAATACCATGATTACTGGTATTGTGACGAGTTACCTTTGGCATTTACAATGAAATAATTATGAATCGTCATATAATTATTTCAATAATATCAAGATTACAATGGCTGAAGTCTAGTATACAGTACAACTTAAAGAAGTCTAAGAGTGCGACACGTACCCTACTTTAATCATTAAAATTTCGAATTGTAGAACTGAATCGTATTTCAATTAACAAAAAACAAAACTGTTCTTGTAAAGAAACATCACGTCAAAGCAACAATTAAATATCTTAATTTTCAGGATATTCCAAGCAACAATTTTACTGTATTTCTACACGTAACCAACGTTGTTAACATCTGGATCGATGACACCACCTCAATCAGGTTTTCATTTAGTTTCCCTTGATCCACATGGTCTTCAACAAACAGAGAGACCCTTATCTTGCTGAATGCATCTTTTATCATTTCAACATAAATGTCAGATTCACACTAGTATTCTTTTTGACATAAATAGCTCAATTATAGAAAGCCTAATATTCTGAGTGAACTTTCCCAAAATAACGTAACCTCTCAATTCCATCATTGCAGAAAACTTTAAAATCAATTTGTCAATTTCTTTTCATCCTTAAGCAAGAAAGAATGATAATTGAAATCCTGTTCAAGATAGTAGTTACTATCATTACTTATAGACACACAAAATGCTACAAATGGAAGTCACACACTATTAATCTTAACTTGTTAATTTTCATTTCATTTGTAAATGAGAGAATTACTATGTTTTTATTAAGTTTATTGCAAATAATAATACAGAACTTTAATTGAAATCATTTACACAGAGAAGAACAGGTATTACAAGGTTGACAGACACAAAAAGAAGGTGCTTTTAATCTGTCAGAGATACCAGAGCCTCCACAACATTGCCATGATGTTCTCGTAAAGTACGTTCTGCAAGGCCTCTGGAAATTTCCATTTCTCTCATCTGTAAAATGAAATCCACAAATTATTAATACCTCTCTATGTAAAATTAAAATGGATATGAAAAAAGCTTGGAAAATTAATAATCAATGACAATATAAAAATATCTTATGAAGCAGTATCATTGGAAAATTTAAGTAAACTAATAGAACCACAAAGGAATAGAAATAAAAAAAAGTTAAATATTCATAACATAAATGCATATAAATTCATAAATTAAATTTAACAAGAAGTTAAGTCCAATGGCAAGGAAACGGTTGAAGATTATATACCACATACATCTACAAATCTCATTACCTTCTCATAAGAATTTGTATTAAAATAAATAAATAAATAATAATAGTAATAATAATAATAATAATAATAATAATAATAACAATAAATTTCTGCAGTTCAGTAATTCATCAACAATATTATTCATACGAATAGGATTCAAAATATGGCTTAGTAAGTTGGTATTGGAAATGTGGTAAACAAACCTGAAAAATTTCAATAGACAGTTTTTTACATAATTATATAATAATTAATAAACACCATCTGCATAAATTTTCACGTTGTCAAACGTTTTCTTCTGTTTTGGTACAGATCTTCATGGAAATGTGCCTTTTCTTTGGTATGTTATGCAGATTGGAACTAAAGAAGCTCTCGCATACATTTAATTAACCCCCTCCTCTTCAGTCACACATTGCAAGATACAGACACATGTATCACATTATTTCATATTTTCACTTGTCATGAGCAGTACTTACCATTAGATCCACATCCTCCTTCTTAATGGAAATTTTAAGAAGTTCCCGTTCTTTGGCCATCTTTTCAGCAGCTTCCTTATTTCTTCTATCACCAATAATAGTCATGGCCTAAAATTACACTTCAATTATTAATTCAGCAAAATAAAATAATTTAAAATACATGAGACTTGTGGTTATATACCCCTGATAAATCAGCAGAACAAATTTCTTTTTCTTCTGCATAATCAGTAACTTTTTCAAGATCTGCGGCTCCACTGTCATATTTCGCGGTTTTCTTCTGAGCTTTCTCTTGCGTGACATCGTCCGAATCTCCCCCAATATCCCCATTCGCTTCATCTTCAGGTACTCGATTACTTCTATCACCTGCCATGCTTGACTTTTCCACCAGCTCCGTGCGGCGAAAACCTAGCGAGCCGCGAATATACTCTCTGGCTGCGATTTCAACTCACAACCAAAGAATACACAAGTACTAGTGTCGACCATTTTTGGATACATCATCTTTGGTAGATACTATCAGTTGCAACAATCTACCAAAATTTATAACGAAAGGTGACATACCACTATTCCTAAATTGCAATCATAATGTATTCATTACATCACGACATATAGTCAAAATAAAACAACTAAGGTTGATAAAGAACTTGAATATGACAAACATTTTAATATTATTATTTCTTCATGATATATTGAAATGTTTATGATGGCTGCATTGGTGCGGCCCGTTTGGGGCTTCTTTGCTGTTTTGCTAAACAAAATAATCACAAATTGAACACGACAGGAACACGATTTGAGAAAGAGGTTATATATTAATGAAAACTATAGAATGAACTGTCAAATGCGTTTTATCTAAATATTTTATGTGAATTGCGAGAAGAGTGAACAAAAAGTTTAGTATAATGCCGTTGCCGCAGTTTTTACGTTATCGCTTAGCCAAAAGAGGAATAATCCATGGAGAAGACGCTGGTAATAATTCTAGCTTTAAACATTTGTTAGTTAGAAAAACGATATAAATATGCTAGTGTTACCACATGTACTTTTTTAAGACTGTAACTTTTTTTGTACTCTCATTTTTCAATAGTGTCCTCTATTGTACAATATTACAATTCCTATAAATCATTTTAACCTTGACACAATATATAACTTCTTGAAAATGATTTTTAATTTTCCAAATAAATGTCAGTTTCTCAAGGTATCTTCTGTTTCTCACTGTATACAGTTATAATGAATATTTCTCAATCATGACTTGAATCTGTGAAATAAAACATTTTGAAAAAGTTGGATCATTTAGAACTTTAATTATCTTGTGATAAATATTACTTGTGTGATTACCTAGCTTATAAGGATAAATAATAACAAGCATCCTTAGTTATTTAGAGACTCAAGAATCAAATTATTTCAAAAGATAGTAATTTTTCCATGAAAGAATTAAATCAATGATTAATGCCTTTATGGCAACTCAACATTTTCAGTATATATTGTATGCATCATTATGTGGTTAAATAAAACAGGTGGCAGAACTACTTTCTCTTGTTGCTGCACAAATGTACATTGTATCATGCTTTGACTTAACTTGGATTTTTTGCACCTGATAATGCATACAAAATGTACTCAAAATGTGTTGCATCTCATTTAATGCCTTTCATGGATAAATAAAGTATCTTCTGAAATAATTTCATTTTGGATTGAATAACAAAGAATTCTTGCTTTTACTTAGAACAATCAAAATTTACTCTGAATTCTCAAAAAGCGCTAACAAAATCAGAGAGATTTTAAAAAGTGTCAAGGAAAATAGTTATTAAGCCTACTTCAGAATATTGAAAACAAAAGAGTAAAGAATTATTATTTGAAATACATAAAAATTTTCAATGTAAAATCACATGCCTTTCCTAACAAGCAGTGAAATGTACTCTTTGTTTTAAACTTAAAAATAAGGTTTCTTTTTCAATCTTGATGACCTGGTAACCCTAGAGTAGGCGTTAACTTGATATTATGTAAGTCAACTTCATTTCTGGTGTGTTAGATAAAGTTCCAGATGTATTGCCACCTCCCGTTGAGGAAGAAGTCATAGCAGAAGATTATGACACTCCTAGGAAAGGAAATTCCAACGATGCCAATGATAATAGTGAAGCAGGTGACAATAGCAGCGACACCGAGTTAAAATTATTGGTTTGTATCATTATATATCTTGTAGCGAGTTTTCTAAACAATTTTATTTAAAAGTTTCAATTATTTCAAATAGTGTAGAACATATTTTCAAATATTTATTTCCAGTAGCCTGGAATGTATTTTTGGGAGCAGCAGCCTAAAATATTGCAGGCCAGTATTTAAATTAACCATTAAAAGTATCGGAAGATGACTGAGAATATGTTATTGAGTGGTAATGATATTTAATAATGTCATGGTTGAAGTTTGTATGTCCAAGACAATTATTTGTGGTATCAACTGTGGTGTACTTTTCTTATTAATACTGTCTTATAGGGGAAATTCATAAAAATAAAAAAATCATTTTATTTAAATACTACTGTACTGGTACACCATTTACCTGCAACGCATTTGTGTCAATTGAACTCAATGGACTGTTAAACTCCCTAACGGATGCCAGTCATAGTGATTGGCTTGTCATTCCTCTGATTGATTTTGTTATGTCAATTTATGGGTAATGTGTTACAAAATAGTATATGTACAAGTAATAAACTTGTTTGAAGCAATCAATCGCTGGATTCATTGGTTTGCTGTTACTGGTGTTAAGATTGGTGACTTATTCCATTGCCACAATGTAACATTATTTTTAAAAGTACTGAAGTACCAGTAATTAAGAAGCTTTATTATGAGGTGCATAACAAAACGTTATGTTATTATGGATATATAGTTTTTCTTTACAAATATAAGAGAAAATGAAAAGAAAAAAGTTATGTATAAAAGTATTTATTAATTATTGAATGTTTACAGAATGTAATGTAATACTCTTTAAATACGTAACAAAATTCATTTTAAATGTAAACTTTAACAAATTTACATTGGTTATTGCTAGTGCTGGACATTTACTGGGTTGACATAGGATACAACTGAATTTCATTACTCTTTGAAGTTCTAGGATAGATATTTATTTCATTTTCAATGTTCTTTCCAGGGTTAATGTTTTATGAATGTGGAGAATAACATAGAGTAAATTATACACATTGAAGAAAGTTTGTATTTTTTATAAGTTCACAATATAGCAATAAGAATAATAATAATATTAACAACAATGCTTTTTTTTTTGTAATTCAATCTTTTTAAAGATACACCTTTTCTGTAATATTTCAACAATATACTTTGTTTTCTGGTAGAAGCAGTGCTACTTTATTGTTAATTGGATAAACTGATAATTGATTCCAGGGACACCCAGGATGCCCAAATAAATACAACATTTTTCATGAATGTACAGTTTTCTGCAAAGAAAAGTGGGGAGTAGGGCATGCAGAACCAGATACCAAATACCAGAGGTTGAAGCAGAAAATGCTGCAAAAATACCCTCTTCCTATAACTTGGATGGAAGTGTATGATCCTGGAAGGTAAAAAAAGTTAAAAATTCAATTTTATGAAATATGGGAACATCACTGTAGCCTCTTCATGGCTTAAAAAACAATAATGTTTGTGGCTTATTTTACATATCAGTAATAATAATTATTAATGAGATGCATTCAATGGATGAGATGCCTGCAACCTGGCACTCAAAGTTTCACCACTAAACCATTCTGATGAGCAAAATTAACTAGTCAAATGTCAATACTGGGAGAGGTGGTTCAGTGCATCAATTGATGTTACTGCAGTGCCTTTGACCAGGAGGTCCTAGATTCGAGACCTGACTGAGGCAAGATTGTTGACACTAGCTTGTCAGCTAGGTGTAATACAGTCACTGTCTGGAAGAGAATTCTAGAGACCGGCTGCTCTGATCGATAGTTTTCCATGGTTTCTCCAATCAACACCAGGCGAATGCTGAAGCAGTACCCTAACAAACAGGCCACAGACCACGAACAATATTTCCTTCCTCTTCCTTGTCCTATTTTCAGTCCTTACACACAGTTACACTAATACGCACAATACTACCACACATGTTGAGAGACTGGTCAGGTGCTGAGAACTTGTCCTGGCTGGGGGGAGATACCTGATTGACAGAAACCCCACTAGATGGCACCAGATCTCTCCAACTAGCGGGGGACGATCACCACCACCTCCCGAGGACAAAACTACACTGTGCTTACAGGACTACTGACCTCAGTAGTTGACTTGCCCGGAATCACTAATAATCAAACAATCAATGTCGGTGCATTGTCCCTGACATGATCTTTCATTGACACAATTTTTCGTGTCGCAAAATTGGATGGTGTCAGAGAAACAAACTTTTTCTTTTAAACATAATTGAACATCACAATTTTTCAGTGGGAGGCACTACTACTGGGAGTATGAAAGTGATTATGTGTCATGGTTACCACCTCTTCACCCTCGTGCAATAATCGCTGAACCTGCCTCAATGTTGCGGCAGGCAGTTTTACCTTCCAAGGATTCCACAACAAACACGGATGGTGAAAAGGGTAGTGATGCAGAAGATGTAGAAGTAAGTCATTTTTTTGCAAGGTTTTGTTTTATTTTATAATTCACTTTCTCTCAGAAAAAACTTTTGACATAATTGTGATGTTAAGAAAGATTTCAGTTCAGAAATATAAAATGTTCAATAAGGTTACAAAAATTGTGCTTGGAGTTGTTTAGAAGCTACAAAATCTGAACAACTTGGGAGATTAAACCATGAGATTTGTCTTCTACTACAGGAAGTGAATGTGGAGAGACCAGAGAGACACAAAGAAGAAAAGGAGCGAAAACGAGATACCGAAAAACGTAGTAGAGATGATGATCGCAGGGATTGGCATGAAGATGAAAGAAGAAGAGAAGGAATGGAGCGTTCAAAATCAAAATTACGCAAAAGGGTGAGAAAGCCTGTACCTTCCTACTTATTGAAGTTTTTATTAGTAATGAAATTGTTTTAAAAACTAATTAATTCTTTGACCTATTTCTCCCAACAATGAAAGTAAAACTGTTTTACTGTTAATTCTCAATTTTTGCTTTGTGCCCAAAGAGAGGCGTGATTGAGGATGAACGAAGTTCTGAACCTTATTATTTAGTTAATTACTGAATTGTTCTGCGGACAAATGTTGTCAAGATCGTGTTTTCACAGGATAGTGATGATGAAGAAGGAAAACCATCTAGAAGTAAGGAGGATCGAGAAAGGAAACGCGATGGAGGAGATAGGAAAGGTGAGGATCGACACAGAGAAGACAAAGAGAGGCCACGAGGCAAAGGCTGGAAAGGCAATACTGATGGTGCTTTGGATCCTATGGATCCAGCAGCATATTCTGACACTCCAAGGTGAGTTTATGTAATACAAAAAATAATTTTGGGGAAATAACTCTGGAGTATAAACAAAATAAACAAACATTGTTGGAAATGACGATTGTGAATCAGTGATGGATCTATATTTTATTGCTAATCAATGTTTCCAACACACAATATTTGTCAGAACAATGGTAATGGATTATAGTATTTATTTCTATATTTTCTCTTAATTTTTCCCAGAGGAGTTCTCGATGTATAATGTAACGTTATTTTTGCTGCTGAACGCTGTGATCTCTGATTACTGTATTTTAATTTTCAGAGGAACATGGTCTACAGGTCTTGAGAGAAAGAATGAAGCGAAAACAGGAGCCGATACAACCGCTGCGGGGCCTCTGTACCAAATGCGTCCATACCCTAGTCCTGGAGATGTTTTGCGGGCTAATTCTAAAACATCTGAACCACGAGAAGGATACAAATCAACGAAAAGTAGACGTGCTCCATAGACCAGCAATAATGATGATTATTTTTATTTGTGTTATTAATATAACACTTTTATGAGACATGGAACTTAAGAGTAAATCTGCTAATAAACTAATTGTATATTATTGCAGAGTGTTTGTCCTAATTAAAAAGATTAGGTTATATGTTGAGAAATAGGGAGGGGGGGGAAATGTAAACTGAAAAAGACATCAATGGAAGTTAACTTTCAAGTGTTTCAACTTTGAAGTAAATGCAAAAATTGAGAAGTTCTTTGTAAATGTGTTTGCAGAATCATAAAGATATTGATGATCAAGTGTGTTTTATATTTTGTGCAAATATGTCGAGACTTTCCATACAGCAAGATTAGGGTAATGTGCATGCACACATTTTTTCAAGTAGTCATATTTCATTGTATCAGATTCTAAAGAATGTATTACTGGCAACTGGTTATAAATAAATAATCCTACCACCTTTTCACAAGACTGTTAAAGTTGAATGAATCAAAATAAACCCTCACCATAAAATATAATACATGCATTAACACTCACACCAAAAATCTGAAATTAATGGAAAAAAGTTAGTTATAATTTAAAAATCACATTTGTGTTGAAACGTTACTGAGAAGCATTAAAACATCTAAAGTACGTCAATTCGAATGCAATTTTTTGCAACAAGGATCTGGCATTTATTCACTTCATTATGCACGTAATGTTTGTTTCCAGTAATCTTAACATTATTTTGAAAAGTGAACATTCCATTCTTTATTTTATTTTCTTGATCTACGAGAAGAAATATCACAATTTCCCCTTCGAATGCTTAAATACACTAACAAACCATGACGTTTATTAAAAAATATTTTCCGCATTTTCTGATTCGAACATGCTGAGACCCAGGAAGCACGAAACCAACGTGTCGCCCACGATGAAAAACTTGGCACAAATCGCAATATTTAGGGCATCTTCGAGCTACTTCGGCTGTCGGCAACCTCAAAACGTTTTAGGACGAGGACAACCGCAACTGACCACAGTACTTGTTTTACCACTACTAAATAACCAAAAGAATAAAATGCAATCTTGTGTCGGGAAGGATTTTTTTCCCCTTTCTTCAAAACACGTTTAAAAAAGAAGAAATTTGTTAATCTGAATCGATAGAAAAAATACACATTTTGAAGTTTATAAATTCGTGAAAAATCTGCCAGTACTTGTGAAGTCTGAGAATTGAGTACACTAATTTGGCAATTCATGGTTGGCTGTTCTGGAGCATCTATCAATTCTTTCTGTCAAGTATTGTATTATTGTGGCCAGCTAAGCTGTGCTGGACCGCGGCTTGTGCGGTGATGGTTCACTGCACGTCGAACTTTACAAGAATATAAAGTTAAAGAGACTGAATGAACAAAAATACGTACAGAGTTTTATGTAAAAAATCAAAAAGATCAATAATTCTTCCATAATCGTTCTTGAATGTGTTTCTGCAGTTAAATGTCCTTGACTATTGCCAACAGAAGCGTGCCCTCTTGTCACGAATTGTTTTATTGATGTTTTATGCTATCGCGAAAATTCCTTCAAAAGTTTCAATTCCTACAGATCCTGTCTGTTGCATTTTGATGTCCTCGTCTCGGAAGTTCGTAATCTGTCTATTAATGTGAGTGCGAATCCCATTTATTAATATCCATGAATTATTATTGTAGTCGCATGATGTGCATTAATGCATCATGTTGGTTTGCATAGGTGGTTAATCACATGAAATTAAGCGTGTGATTCGTGTTGAATGATATTCTTCAACGAAGGAGATCCGCTTGCTACCCAATTTCTATGTTTCGGTGAGTGAACTTTGCAAATTAAAGTGTTAGTATTCGCATTTTACCTATTGTTTCAAAGATGGTATCAAAATGTTTCCTTTTTTTTTAGTTGTTCTTGACCCTTTTCCTCCCTTCATTGGGCCTGCGAACGAAAGGGAAGAGTTATAATAAAGAATGTTTCTGGCTTTCTGTTTTTTCAAGTGGAAAAATGTACAACCTACACTGAAGTATAATATGTGTGATGAAAGGTTTTAAAGTGATTTAATTGTATTCAGTCACTCTTCTCATAATTTTGCAAACAAATTTATTTCAGGATCAATATTTTAAAAATGTCTCCATCTTAAGTTGCTTTATTTATTTATTTTTATTGTTTATTGTAGAAATTGAAATATGTTTAGGAGAAAATAAATTACTAATAAGCAGAGCTGGTTAAAGCTTGACGTACGCCCTAGGCACAATTTTCTTGTAGGCCTCAGAATAAATTATTGGGCCGCATTAAACTGTAATTTTAGAATTTTTTGGATTTAAAAGTGTAATTTAGGGAAACACGTATAACAAAATTCAATCAAAATTTGCATCATCTGTTATTGAAATATTTCTATTTTTTAAATTTCTTTTTCTCACCCTTTTACAAACCTATGTTTAATTTGGAATTTGAAAACATTGCAATTATTGTAAAGCATTATATAATTTGTGTAAATGTGATTTCTTTTTTTTTTTAAGTCATGAAATAAACTCGTAAAATTTTTTATTAAGAGACCCTATTGTAGGCCGCCTTGGCACTATGCCTTACATGCCTACTGGTTTATCTGACCCTGCACATCAGGCTTCATTTTTCAAAAATCTCGCAGTTATGTAACTGAATTCTTGTAGAGCAGAAGTGTCACAGCTCTATTTTTCTTGAAGTTTTTGAAAGGATTGCATTTGTTATAGTTAAAGAATTCTTAATAGGATATATATTTTGCCAGGAGAGTACCTTTGTTAACTGGGAAATAATTGTTCTTTTGAAAATATTCTAACATATTAAATACTTTATTAACACTTTGAATTTCAAATCAATAAAATTCATTAGTTGTTTGTATCAATTGAGAAATTCAACATTAGTATGATGATTTTTCAACTTTAAACTCAAGTTTTTTTTTACTAAGAGCGAGACTTACAACGTACCCTTTTGTGTTCAAATTTTATTTTAAGGTATTTAAATCCTATTACTATTCTGGATAAAAAGCTTTATTATTATTATTATTATTATTATTATTATATAGTTCATCAACTGATCTCGGTAGTACAATTTTACAATTATGTGGGAATATGTTTCCTGTTTAATAATTGTCTCATACTATTGTGCCCCCTAACTACGTAGCTTTTGATTGTGTAAATATGTTTAATCCCCTGGATAATTAGTTTTTATTGTTTTGCCTTGATATTTTCGAATAGAAATTGCAATATGCTCTTATGTTAAAAATAGGATAAACTGTTATATATTACTCTGGATTGGATCCAGCCGATCATTTTGGTGGGGCCATTGTAGATTTTTGTTAAATAATGAACATATTTGTTTTTTTATATTGTATATTATTTAGGCACTCTAGATATACTACACAATATTATTGTTTAAACAATTCGAGCATAAATGAATATTTAAATACATTTTGCCAAATAAAGGAAGGTAAAGAAAAACTAGTGTTTTTGGAGAGGGGCCATGGCCTCTGTGGCTCCCCCTGGATCCGTGAACTACTATACTTTTAATACTTATATTACCAAATTTTAGGAAGTGATTATTCTATAAAAAATATTTTTTATATGCCAATTGAACTCCTATGCACATGTGCAAACAAATTTGTTTTTATTTATAAATGTTTTTCAAGTATTGGGGATCTCTGTTACTTGGTTACCCATTACATATAGTAAAAATGAAAATTACAAAAGGTTCCGTAAAATAATGTTACAGTATATAAACGATAATTCGTAAAATAATTTTTCGTGAATATTAAATATTTATATGGTATGAAAACATAAAATATTAAAACCTGTGACATGTAGATCATCTCCTTTTATCTTTCCTCGTAAATATACATAAAAATCTTTGGTCTAAATTCAAGTGATATAAAAGTTGAGCACCTATTATTTTGTATTTAAATTGATCTTAGAACATAACTCTCAGTTTATTTTATTTTAATGTTACTTCTTTTAAGAGCTTCTTACAATTTTATCACTTTTGTAAATTTTTACTGTCAATTGTGAATAACATTTTTGTGTTTTTTATAATAGAGTTTTATGGTGCATGCAGACTAGTCAGCTCTAATTGAAAATATGTCTCTAATGATTTCTAAGAAGTTTAGTAACTAAGTGTTCTATTGTTTTCTTTTTGTTATTTTCCAGAAAAAAATCTCTTAATATTTTACAGACACATTTTCAAAACTGTATTTAATATTTCCTGGGAACAGATTGTAAATATTCAACAACTGAAATTTAAAAAATTCAAAATTCAACTCTACCACATTCCACAGATGTGATAAAATACACTTTTTAGAGGGTACTTCATACCGGCACGTTTTCCTCAAAAAGTGTGTACGTCTGTCAATGTCAAGTGCCTAAATCACACACAGGATTTGCACCAAAACTGATATTCCCTGTGCGATCTAGATGCAGCCCATAGAATTTGAAACACGTTATTTAACTTATGAAAATTTTGCTTCAAAAGACCAAAGTTTGCTGGCATGTCTGATTTTCTACGAAGTATTAGAAAATTCGAAAATTGCAAAGTAATTTTTTTGATGTTCCCCTCAAACCACATAAAAGAAAGAGATTGTCCTAATTTCAATCCTATCATTAAAATTTGATATTTAAACAAGGCAATGAATGATTTTATAAAAATATGAATGTCTGTTCCACTCGTGAAATTAAAACCAATAGTGTTTAATTATACATACCAAATACCCTAATCAGGACGGTGTATCTCAAAAAGTTTATCGCTTTTTTCTATCCGATTTTTCTTATCGCTTCTACATACTGGCCAATCATAAACTGTGACACATCTATCTTAGGAGACGGTATACATCGATCGATATGTCGATGTCCAATACACAGCGTATGTACTGTAACCCAACCTCTTTGATTTTAACATATAAGCTTTCATTTATTTTGAACATTTGGCGCATTTTGGAACACTGTTTGACATAATTTCACTCGTGGAATTATCCTAAAAAATACTACTCGTGCTTTGGAAATTCTCAGGTAAATCCTCTCCTCGCTTGTCGATTTTTCGAGATGTCGAGATTTTGACGGAAGTACAAGTTTTGGGGTCCCATCATGAAAAATTGTGTTTTTTCCCCTCCCAAAATGTCCGTCACTCTATGAATAACGTTCAACGTTGAAATGTTACGTAGGATTTTCTCCGAAATGAATATTGCACGTTTGTTCTGACCCGTTTAAAGGCTCGGAGACTTGGAAACGTATGTAATCTTGGGAGATACTTTATGGGAAGCATGTGAAAAAGGCAATTTCTGAGTGGTATTTGGGACCCATTGGTCAAGGTGTTATGAATAAGATACCCTTTGGCAAACACTAGCAAACATTCTTTGGCTTACGCCTATGTCATCTTTTTCTAAACTGTTTCGACTTCAATTCTTCTCATCAGCTTGGGAGGTGTTAAGATCAG